TTTTTGGGGTAATGTTGTCAACAACAGAAGGACTATGGGTGCGCAACGAAATCTGCTTCCTTAAAATGGTCGCTGAACTAAAAATGACGTGTGTGAATATTGACGTCTGAGGGGAAGGGACAGGTATGTGACACGCTGGTGGCGCAGCGAAATATTGAAGCATATTACAGCCGTTGAATGTTGGTTAAATCCTCGGCACTTTGGGCAAATCCATTTGTTGAGGTAAGTGGCGGAACATCACGCCTCACATTCCGGAGGCTTTTTACATGTCTGTACAGAAGCTGGTTGTTAGCGAAAAAAGCTTACTGCTAGGCTTTGCTGGTGAACTAATTTGTCCTCACGTACAAGTTTGGAACACTGAACAGGAGGTACTACATAATAGCTCCAGTTTCCAGGATTAAGATTCGCCTTATACACATGCAATGCAACGTCTTTAACTGTCATGTGCTTCCGGGTTCTGCTCCTACTTATTGATAGTGCTCTTGTAGAATGAATGGGTAATTTTACGGATGCAGATTTAATCAGATAGCTGAATTTGCCAGTAAACTCCATCCATGCATTATCAATGGAGCACTTGTTCGAAAAATACCAAATCCTATACCCAACAAATTTTGTGTGTGTGTGTCGTAGTGTGTGATTGTTCGGGTCAAGTCCTAATAATGTTGTGGACATTCCGCATAACACACATATTCGTAAACTATTGGTACGTGATCATTTCCACTCAGAATGCGCTCTATCTTTGGGCTCTCGATCATGAACTCTTCCGGTTCTGTATCTGGTGGGTGAACTGACATCGTTAAAGAGCGGAATCCTTGCAATAAGATCTTACGGGTCTGTCTTTAATTGTTCCTTGCACGAAGCCGGAACTTCCATATCTTATCGCCGGAGATGGGAACATGGCTGTATCGTTGTAGAAGTAGCCTCCCAAATACGAATGTCTGGCGGAAGTCCATCTCTTGTGCAGGCATTAGCGGACGATAAAGAACTGCAAAAAGGCAGGTGTTTTTGCGCCTTAGTAGCAGACTGCACCAAAGCGAGTGTCTGATCTGCGTTTCCGGATTGTTCGCTGATTCTCACTGCAGGCCATTACAGTAGTATAAAATTACTCATTTTGAATAATGGATATACTATGTATCGCCACATCAGTGTCGGTAATTTCTGCATGCGGCCAAGTTTAGGTTGCGAATATGAAGTCCCAGTCGTATGATGATTGACGCAGCCGCATTTTGGCAAAATTGCTAAGGTGACCCTGTACATTGGTGTACATGCAAGGAAGTTTTGCTTTGCATACCGATGATTCGTGGGATGTACGTCTTAAGTATGATGTTGTGGCAAACAGTGAACGGTCGGCTCCTGATCGTTTTTTAGATGGGGTGATGACGAACTCATCTGTGTCAGATCCAGAGATCGCGCCATCACTTCTATGCTCTTCACTTGATATGTATTGCGCGGGGTGTTTTTGCACCAGTTTCACTGGCTAGCTGAGTGAAGTTATCCGATCTGTTATCTGGACGTGATCCAACTAAGTGGCTGCTTTCGTGTGTTTGCTCAGGGGAAGCTGCTTTGTCCCAGAGCTCGGAAAGAAGGCTGCTATGGCCAGCATACTAGCTCTCTAACACCCTATTTGACATTTGCTTGGATTGGAACACCATTTTCACAATCCTTGGACCAGTTCCTTTGTAATTCGCCGATATGTGTAGTCTCGAGATAGAACGCGTTATGACATCTTCCAGGGACAGAGTCTCTCGAATGTATCTCCACTGCTCTTGTCGTGAGCGGTCACTTTGCGCTCATCGTGACCTCTAGCCTCGGGAACACCGTGTATAACCATGGTCATAACCACGGATTCTTTTCGGCGTTATTCCACGTCATACTTCGTGGAATATCCTGGAAGATGCGGATGGAATATGACACATTCCGAAGGTGAGGTGTCGATAACAGCATAGCTTCGGTCTCACCAGCGGAAGTCGATACAACGCGGAGAATTCTCGGTTTACTGTGGCGCTGTGAGTTTGGGTGACGCCTGATCCTTGTCAATTTGGCGGACTTAACTCCAACACCAATTATGTCACATAAGGAGTTCCACTGGTTCACAACACCGAGTTGTTTTCTTTTTAAGGAATTAGACGTTGTGTCTGGGACGTTGGTGCAGATTATCGATGGTACAGTGTGTAGATCGGATTGACGTCAGCTGCCCAGCTGGTCTATACACAACTGGTGGAGGCTGTGGAAGTACAACTCCGCCTTCTTCATTTACCTTATGCCTAGTGAGGGTAACTGAGGATCTATGATTCTATTTGGTTTTAGCAGAAATCATTTTCCAGCCACCAAGAGTGTCGATATCCTTCTGAAATTTTGGGACAGTTTAGAGGGTGGATGAGGCCCTGGCTGTACTTATACCAATCGAACTGTCATTGTTTTAGGCTTATCTGGGTGGCTGGTGGCCTTGAAGTATAAAGCCACAGGGGATACATTTCTAATGCTCAGTCCAGAATTCTTCTACTGTTTCTCAGCGGAGTCTAATGGAAACTTATGGGTTTGGATCACTGGCAAACATTCCTCAAATTAATAACCTTCGGTTTTCCGTATATCTTTAGTTATTGCGAGCAGTCTTTCGTGTTTCTGCGCTAGTTGATGCAAAATCTTTTCTAGTGGAATAACCACGCATACTTCACGGAACCATAGAAAAGCTGGCATGGAAATATTTCGGCGTTGCTGCTCCCAACACTGGTATAGAGATTGTGGTTTAATATAATCTATCTGCAGCTGGCTTACTGTGAGACTTGCACATTAAAAATGAAACTTATTGCTGCAGTTTCCGCACTGATATCCGGTTCGTATGTTTTTGTGACACGAAGGAAAGTGGCATACTACTGTCAGCCTTGGAGTGGAATAATGGGCAACTATGGCTTGATGGTTAAAACCATTGCGTCGATCGATGCCTTTCTGGTCAATTGTGTGGTTGTCTGTCTATTGCTGTATTTTCAAGGACAACGCGTTCGGTCCATCTACGAGTAGCAGACTAGAATTGGACGGATGGATGCTTTGCTCGTTAAGCTCTGAGATCTAAATAAAGCAAATAAGCGATGTAGACACAAAATGTCTGATAGATAATTGGCTTAACGGTCGACAGCTGTGGTTAGACGCTCGTCGTATAGATCTATGAGTTGGCTTTCGTTTGAGGCCATAAATATTGCTTTGTGGTTCGGGGTTCGGAAAATTCCTCGAATCTGTTCCCGCGAAAAAAGCAACGTTCATGTTACCGATGATACACACAAGTTAGATCCGAGAGATGGAATGCACTAAATAGCGCTGATGAAGCTGCATCAAATGAGTGTACTCATACATGTGTGTGATGAGAGGTGTCTGAGAGCCTATATTCGTCAAAGTAAAGGGAAAATGAGAGGCGTGTCAGTACATCCGATTAGAGTTCGAGTCCGGGTTTTTTAACTTCTTGCCAGCGAACTGCACCAAATATAAAGACATGAATGCATAAAATATTTCTCGCCCAAATAAGGACGAAAGTGCTTGAGATCGGCTCTTGCTTGGGTTTTGCACGGCTTTTCGTCGGTGAGCATGAGTTGTTGTATGGAAATCAAAATAATAATGCGCACGGTAGCCATGCATCGAAAAGTGAGATTTTTGATCCGGATAGTTTTCTATACCATCAGTCTCGAGTGGAGGTAAGAAAGTTTTTGCTTACTTGTATCGACATTTTCCCCCTAGTGACGACGATATTTAAGAAGGACATTTAGGTTTCAGGCACGCCTTTGCGGTCTCAAGATTCGAATTAACTAACCCTGGCCAAGCGGTGACTTGGTCAAGAGGAATTACGGCCATTACTTCGAACTTGGCGTCGGATGGCGTCTACCGACTGCCGGGCTGGGGTCCAAGGGATCATGAACACGTCTGGTTGGATACACTAGTTGTCATGACAAAGAGCCGATCTCAATGGCGTTTTGTTGTGAGTTCCTTTTTCCCTCCCCAACTCGCTTACCATTCCCCTCCAACCACTAGCTCAGACTTGAAGCGCAACATGAGTTACTGAGCAGTTTGTTATCAGCTTCTTGTATTCTATAATGTTTCGTAACTCGCTTTTTCGCGTCTTCTATCTTTTTGTATTGCGATAAGGTAGATGAGGTGTGTTTCTCACCTTCAGCCAATGTGTAAGAATGATGGTGCTGATGATGAACACTGAGAAAGAGAACCATAACAGTTTTCCCTTTAAGGCACAATGGTAGTGAAAGCAGGTATAAGTCAAAAACGTTACATATACACCACGATAACTCTCATTGGATAGTTGAAATAACTGTAGGTGCTGGAAGAGTAACGAAATGGCAACGCTTAGACCTCCCTTAATATCGCACGTGAAGTATATCGAGTACAGCAGCGAATCAGTGAGATAAATTACTTGTAACCGCACTGTATTGTCTGTTTCACTTGAAGTGCTCTAGGTGATAAGTTCATGCGTTTTCGAATAAATGACTACTGCTTGTCCCAACATACGTTGTTTACCGACGCTGCGTCGGGTTAGGTGAATTCCAACAGACTCGTCGATGACATAGCAAGGCACTTTCAAGAGGATGACCGGAGGACTAATCTATATGCAGGCACACCTTTACCTTAATTTGGGCTGTTGGTGGGTCACCTCGGTAGTTATGGTTTCTTGTCTAGCGAGTGCAGTGTGGGACATTCTAGTATTTCCTGATACTTATATAGGCCATAATTCTCCCTTTCGACAGTTAGCGATTTCTGGTCTGGTTCTTAAAACATTCAGTAATCCTTCACTTCTTATATGTTTGAATCTATTTGTTGATTGCTGTCATCATGACAACGGGAATGAAGTCAACCCTGTCTATTGTGTTTCTTCATCCCGCACACTGTTAAAGTATGTAAGAGTACCTGGTTATTTTCTGCTGTTTGTGAGGATGCGTGTTGTGGACTTGCGTTCGAGGACTTGCACTCTTGGAGTATTGTAACATCTTTCCATTGTGCATTAGGTTCTGACCAAAGACTCTGTCACGGTTGCTGTGGACGCTGTCGTATACTACCGGATTTACAATCCTGTTGTCGCCATCACTAATGTGGAAGACGCCGACCGATCTACCCGCTTGTTAGCTGCGACCACCCTTCGAAATGTGCTTGGCACCAAGGATCTGGCTGAAATATTGTCTGAGAGAGAATCTATCTCCGCATCCATGCAGGTTAGTGATGAACAGTGTTAGACATTACATCAGATTTGATGGATATGTGCATTCAGCTACCTTAGGTGCGCTTTTGAAAAACTCCACAGCATCTCCATCCTCTTGTATTGCTTTGACAACAGCACATGTGACTACCAACGTTTATATGGATAGTAGTACATGCATGATTGAAGATTAGCCTGTTCCGATAGAGATCGATTAGGCTTGTGCTATCGAATTGGAGCTTCAGTCAATCAAAGGGACTTACTGGACAGCAGCTTCGATCGGTACATTACCTACAGCAATCGGACATTTGAGAGGGAATTTGTTGGCTGTGAAACCCCGGTGTCATTACTAAACCTCACCAAAAATGTTGTACTGTTACGCCTGAAAGTCAAGCCATCTCCATCAGTTAACCGGTCACCCTCCAGAAAATTAAGCCGTGAGCGCACTATCATCAGGATGCTGACAACAGCCGCTCTTCAACAGATTGATTTTTTCTGGTTATTCGAGGTGTAGCAAGCTGGGCGTTTCTTAACAGAGCCAAGGCATCATGCTGTGAGGACAAATAAATATGTGAATGGGTAAATATGCGAAAATTGAAAACTTAATTTATTTGGAAAACACGGAAAGAAGACGAAGGCTGGTAGATGCATGGATTTTGTTTTGGCTCCTCAGTACCATTAACAATAACCGGTATGCTTAGATATACCAAACAGTGGGTGTAGAACGAACGACGGTAGTTCACCTCTCCTTCCAATGTAGCTTTAGACTGATAACAAATGTTTCTTAACGCACAGTGCTGGCTACATCAGGCTTATAGCGACGGCCTCAACAAATCGAAGGAAGTTGAGCCTAGCTCTATCCGGTGACCCGTGTCTCATAGGTGTTTGCCTACCGTGGAAGCCGGCGCGCTACGCGAACACGGAATCTGACGGGAGTACGTAATCTGGGCAAATTCACACCGAATCAATCTTGGGACATACTCCTTATTCGAAAGTCAAGCTCCTATTAGTTCTGCCTATGTAACTATTTCCGCAGTTACACACAAATTGGTATACAGTGTGAGTTAGCCCTGATACTCCGAGTTTCCGTCGTTGGAGTTATAGTCAAATTTCGGGTTCGGTCGATGACGACAAATTGTGTAGCATAGTAACTTCTTTGGGTAGCCGAAATTATACACTTAGTTATCTTCAGCGTGGAGAAATCGCCATTGAAAGGTAACTCAATATACACTTTCTTCTTGGCTGTCATATGCACCAAGTCCTTTGGCCCTCCCGGTTCGCTGTGTTTCTCGATAAATTTTCGACGGTAACTTTTCTCCATTAGTGTTGCTACAATTAACACTAGCTCATCAGCCTGAGGTTGCCCAGACTTCCCAACCCCTTCAGATTCCGTACTCGCGTAGATCACCGACTTCTTCGATAGGCAAGCACCTATTAGACTTTTAACCGGATAGAGCTAGACTCAGCGTTCCAAGTTTTGTTACGTCATCCTAATTCCTGCATCCTTCAGTTTGCTGAGGCGGTCGCTATAATCCGGACGAAGCCAGCCATGTGCTTTCAGGAACAATTATTTGTCACGGTGAATATGCTTGTGGGAGGCATCAAGTTTTGACCAAGGAAGCCTTCAAAGTTTTCTACGTCATGTCAAACAGCTATACCAAAGAAGTTAGCAAACTCTTACCAAGCATTGCCGAGGCCTTTGCGATCAGGCTAATGAAACCTAAACTGTGCAAGCAGCGGACGTTCTTGCAAAAATTTCTGCTACCGTGGCCGTGATCTCAGTGTGGGCACTGTTCCTTTCCTTCACAGACGGTGAATCAGTTGGCCTTGTCCTCTCACCAGCATGACGAACCGTCTTGTTTTGTGTGCATATTTGTGTACCTGTGTGTGACCATTCTCATCGATTGGGAGTCTGCTCGACGAACAATGCAGCCTGTCTGAAATTGACCAACACTAGCCGAGCTTTCATAGCCTATTGCAATGCTGTAATCAGTTTTATATATGTAGTCGCCAAAGGAGAAATATCAAAAAGTAATTTCTTCGGCGAACTGACATTATTTGTCAACGTAAAGTTGTCTTCGACGGAGGTATGAACTTCCGTCATTCATTCCGCAACTCATTCTATTCTGGTTGCACACACTGTTCGCTATAACTATACCTAACGGTTATTGTTAGTGGTACTGAGGAGACAATACGAAACGCATACATACACAAGCCTTCGTCTTCTTTCCCTGCTTCTCAACTTGTTGAAGGGAACTAACTGCTTTAAACTTATTGTATTTCCGGTTTTTCTTGACTCCTATCTAACCCTTATCAAATGACTGGAAACTTCTTCAATGCTGTACTTGCAAGTCAACTTGTAGTGCACATGCACACCGCTTAGGAAATTTCTTGAGTACCGCAAAGGACACGTATAACAGTTTTCTGAGCATTCGGTCGATTAGTGCAAAAACTGTTGTTGAGAATTGTGTGTGTAGTACTCCTGTGAAATGGTAAACGAATTCGCAAGATAGAGGTTGGATAATGGGGCGAGTTAATTAATTCTTTAGCATATATACGCGCCACTACTCTTGTAATATTTCTAAAACTAGGTTCACTTCCTACGGACGAATTTGCTTCGACGCATTTGTTAACTGATGAGACTGCTTTAGAGATACCTATTTCTCTCCAAGGAAATTTGGTTTCCATGTTCTCTGGGAACATCATGCTGAAATGTTTGGTCTGGTACATAACCAGTTCCGAGACTACATCCAATTTTCTCCATCCGTTCAATAAGCCAGCGAACTCGTCGGCGCTACAAACATTGGAACGGTGATTCTGGGCACTAATTTTTGCTGTATGGCTTAGTTGGCTTCAATGGTTCATTGCATAATTCAATCATTTTCCGTGTCATGGAACAGTAAAATTTTGAAAATTAAAGTGATGATACTCGAAGTAAATGCGGGAAGAAAAACAGTGTGCAGTGTTCATTCTGCTGGGGAGTCATCGATATACGCAACTGACTGACTAACGTGGAAGTGGTGGTGTTTGAACTTGTTTACTAGCTATTTTGAATGGAGGTTCGTCCCACAGTTACACTCAGCCAGAAAATCACTGTCCGTTCGGGAAATTACTGGGCGGTCTTTTCGCCTCTTCGGGAATCGTCAGTAAAACTCATTCCATTTGGCCACATAGGAGCAGGAACCCGTGACCCTACGCATAGGCGTTCGTGACTGAGGCCACTGTTCTATGTTTGACGGGTGGTAACAACTGGATGTGATGTATCTGCATCTGAAATTCAATCTAAATCCCATCTTCTTCAACTAGTTATTTGTTCGCACTGTGCACAATTACAGTAACTTGTACATTCTCAAATCTGGTGAGCACATAACTTGCCTAGCGGAGCCACCTGGAAGTTATAAGATTCCTTTTGAGCAGAGTTCTCTCTGTGGACATACGCGCATCTCCGAACAAGGTTAGTTCCAAAATTACGTTCACGTTAGCAGAACTCTTAAACTTTCAAGAACCCAAACATGGACCCGTGTTTACGAGCGTCACTCTCGGCCAATGACGTAAATGTCACCGATCCGTACTGTATATGTGAAGTGTTCAGTGAATATTTTGCTTCGACGTTTATTAACGAGCCCCAGCTTTATAATACCAAGCAGAGTGCATACTTTCGGAGGTAACTATAACCCACACAGACATTAAATCTGCCCTCAACTAAGTTCAACCCTCTACCGTTGCGGAGCCGGACGACGTTTCCTCAATAGTACTCACACATGGTGGCGATGACATCCCCCTTCTAATTTTTATCATCTTCAGCCTTTCTCTAAAATGTAACCAATTTGCGCTCCAGTGGAAACATGCTCTCTCTGGATCTGCGCAGTGATATCACCTATAGGGCCACCTACTCTACTAGTCAAATGAGAGCACTAAGTGGTAATGTGAGGTAGGGAGCAATGTACTTACCTGTTGTATATTTTCCTTGTACCGGTGCTATCACATAAATTTAGAACAACAAAGCTGACCTAGCATGCGTGGTTGAAAAAATTAGCCACAATCTCAATTCACAGGTGTCCTTGATGCGCTGCCATGCTGCATCCAGGACTGCGGATTGAGTTCACATTATCCCCTGTGGAGGGCAAATGCTCTCAAACGTTCTTGTAAGTAGCTTACTACACCGTGCCAACATATTACGGGATAAGTGGTATTGATATTATTAGTGAGATTACGTGAACGCTGCAGCACCCTTTTGAAGGATAGTGCAGACCTCCGGTTTGGATACTGAATTAGAACAGGCTGTCGGTTGAGGCGTCAATGCATAGATAGGCAACTCAGTGCAAATCCATGAATGAGACTGTCCACACCAGACAGAATAATTGATTGTGCTTCAAACAGTGAAGTAATGACAGCACATACAGTACGTTAAGTGACTGTGGGTCATAACAACGAATCGAACCGCGTAGTCAGTTTCTTTCTTAACAGTGTGATTTGAAAACCAATCTCAGGGCAACTCCGCAGAAGAGCCTAAAAATTCCATCGCAAGAGTATCCGAGGTCATTAAGAGTTGCTTGGCAAATCACTGAATGCGAATAAAGAAAGTCCGTTTCGTCTGATGAGGTAGATCGCGCATAATCCTGCTGTTGCCTGCAGTTACAGTCTTGGCTTCGATTCATATTTCAGAACAAATGTTAGCGAACCAGCTCGTTTCTAGTGGTTCATCGTCAGGCTAATACGCCATGAACGTATGGCATAAACGTAAAAATACAGATAAGGGAACAAGTTCAGAGGTTAAAACGGTCTGAGTGACCAAGCTAGGTGACTGGTCCCACAGCGAACCGTGGTGAGTGTGTGTGTGGTTTATCCACACCAAGTGTCAGTGTTACAGGGGCCAAGGTAGAGTAATGGCTCAGACAAATTTCTTTTGCGCACATAGGTCAGGATTACGGAGGCGAATGGCGATTGCTTCGGCCGCTGCCTGTAGGTGACATCTAACCCCGCGGGGTGATTAAAGCAGTGTCAAGCGCAGTGTCT